GATGACATAGGTCGCACCACGTTCACCAGCTGCACACCCCGGAATGGCTCTGCGCTGCGTATGCTTTGCTTTTCGTTCAGCACTTGAGGCAACTGGCCGCTGCCGGAATTGAGTTGCATCTTCTGAGCGTAGTTTGCATTTTTGCACCCACCGCAACCTCTCGTCACTCTCGCACCAGCTCCGAGCGATCGCACGTGCATTCGCCTGAGGCCAAGCAAGCTGTCGTGTTTATTGTACAGCGGATTATCAAGGTGGTTAAAGTCTACGTCATCCAAATTCCACGCTTTATGTTCTTCCATTCGTAGGTTATGTAAAGCCTTTTCTTGGCTGTAGCCACTTATGCTAAGTCCCTAAAAGCATTCACCTAAACAATAGTAATTCTGCCTTACCGATTTACACGGCGTTACTGCTTTGTCTCCCTTATTACTGGACAATTATGGCATTATTGAAGTAAGTAATTGACAGCTCCAGAGTGACTTAGTACCTCTAGTGCACAGGTGCATTTCCAATCGTTTTGCTACCAAGGTAATGTCTTGAGCGTTGATAATGATAAAGCAGGGCCTATGCTTGTTAAGTGCATTACAGCAATAATTTTGAAAGTAATGAATGGAAGAAAAGGGCATAAAAGATTTACTTGCTTACATATCTTACCACATACAGATGTTTGCGGTCACCCTCGGTCTGTCTTCGGAGTATATGCTATGCATTGGAGTATTTTCATACGGATCGAGCTGATTCGTATATCTGATGGTGTTGCGCTTGTTTTTGATCTTAGTTGGTCGATCGTTTGGCGATTTCGGCCTGTGCGTTGCTGAACTTTGTCCCAGTGTTGCAATTGACGCCGATCGTTGCACGAATCAGTACCTCCTCCTTCACTTTGAGAAGAAAGTGTTGTTGTTCCTGTGCGAATCTTCCATTTTATCCCAAGAGAAGGCATGCTGATTGGTCACAGCATGTTATAAAATAGCATAACTTTCCTTACATTCCGCTTTGATAACCTTGGCTTTTTCGTTTGTTTCTTACTTTGCCTAGTTGTCGCATGTTTTTGGGATCTTTCCTCTGGCATCAGCTTTCTTCCACCTGATTAGATTTTGTTCCGTTTGAACTATCCTCCTCCACGAGTGTTGCCCGTTTCGCTAATGCAGAATGAACCACCCGAGCAGGAGAATGTATACACTCAGTCTTGCTTTTGTTCCACCAGTCAGTTATTTTTCAGCCTTCTCAGACGACTGCATTATTTTGAACCGGCTTTGACTACAAGGTAAGGAACAGAATTTTGAGGCATGTTGAGGTGAGCAGCATGTAGTGAATTGTCATGATAAACTTGTCAGGCATGCACTCAACATCTTCACTGATTAACCGTTTGTAAGCAGTATCTGTCTTACCTACTGAAAATCACCTTGACTCATATCTTTCATTCTCTTTGGAAAAGCGTCGATGATCCCTTTCTTAATGCTTTCTGGATGATAGAAAAAATAATGCAAATACCAATTCGAATATCTCGTTTTGCGACACAATCGTCGAATATTCCTATTGGTCATGTTTCACTAATACATCCAATAACTGTCATTGTCATTCTCTTCTTTCTCTACAGAGAATACGATAGCTTTCTAAAAATGCTGCTTAGCTGTTCCAAATATTTTGCCTTCACTTTCAAAAGAACAAATATGTCAGTTACACGCCTTTTGGAAAGGCCAGTTACATGTCGTTTAACTGCACTGAAGGCCGGTTTTTCCAAATGTCACATAAACAGATCAACAAATGCGTGTGATACTTAAAATCACGCGAGATTCCTTTGAATTGGCAATATAACTGGCCAGTGAAGTGGGAGTAATTGAATGAAATGGAATATTCTGAGCAGTTTAGGAATGAAACTTGCCATAAAATGTATCGTCTTAAGGTCAGCATGTTTAGTTAGCAGTTCCTTGACTAGGAGTATTACAAATTCTACTGGAATGTTACTTAAATACGGTAACATCAAAAACTGGGCTTGATGGTCATTGGATAGTAAGTACAATTCCATCCAATAGTAACAGAAATGCATTATTACGTGATGTTTCTCAGCCTTACTTACTTTTCCGCCATCGTACATCATACTGGCACACTGTCTGGCTCTGAGACGCAGTTTCAAGGTCAGTTTGTTAATTTCGTTAGTGAGATCGTGCTGCTCCAATTCGCATCTGCAAAAGTTTAGTGTAACTGAGTTCACTTGTTCTTAGTCTGCACTTTACATGTTGTATTCCGAGCAGCAAGAGGCAAACATTTCACAGTGATCTTGAAATAAGGTTTGCTGCGACTGACAAGGTACTTCTCCTTCCATGCCGTATGACGTTATTTGATATGAACTGAATCGGTAAACAAACGGAAACGACGGCTTTCGATTGTTGTATTTAAGCAGCCAACATTTGCCAGTCTGAAACGGTTTAGATACAGTGATAACCGCAGCGGTTGACAAAGAGAAGAATCTTTCGTAAATGCTTTCCACATAGAAGTTGAAAGTAATGGCAAATATACCATTATTTATTAACTTTGTTCGCAATTCTCACTTCGCTTTTTTTCCGAGGCGAGGATATGGGCATCTGAACGTGTTCCTAGGTAATGGATAGTAGAAAGGATCCTGGGTGCATGTGAAATAAACAGTTACAAATAATTTGACTGCGTTGACGTTTCGTCACAGTCGAATGATGCAAAATCTGTAAGGATTGCATAACCACCGGAACATGGCCTTGCGACTCTAACCAACAAACCACTGCAAACTATAACATCAACACAATTAGAAGCCACAAATTTTGCCTTCAAGAGGGGTCAGTAAGAGATGGTCAGGAAAGTCGATAGAGGTATGTTGTCTGATGGATTGACTGCGCATGGTGAAACCGTTCCACATTGTTTTCAGCTTGGAATTCTTTTACCGTATTTTATTTAATTTGGACACTTGCAGAAAAACAGGATCTCTGGGATCTTGCATAGTAAGCTTTGAACTTTTCAGCATCCCGTCTTACACTAACCAATAGCACTGTGTCCACTGTCAATCGAGTAAGCGCCCAAGGCAATCATATCCTGAATACTATGCGCGTATATTTTTCAAGTGACATTGAAAACTGTATGTTCACCTATACATATCTATTTCGATGCGTATACATTACTGTTCTCAAACATTTCTTTGCAGACTAAGCGCATATTACAACAAACTTCGATTGGGAGATCAGGATCATCAGGAAGCCTGAGACGACGCTGGATGAATGAAATCGTTAACTGGACAAAACTCGATATCATTCACGCCACGACGATCGCACATGACCGAAAGGTCTAGCGCGGAATGTCTCATGACGTCTACTCTCAAAGCAAGGAATGGTCCCCTGATTATAATGAAAATAAATGTGAATAATAATAAATGTACATGAATATGCATAGACGCTCCAGTTGCTAAACTAATATTTCGATTATGATTGGTCCATATTTAGACAAACAGTAAACTATATCAGTGCCGACTTAGTCGATTAAGTGGCTCACATTGTCAAGCATGCATTGACAGTGATATCTGGATTGTTAATGGAGCAGTGTATGAGATCGTTTCCATGAAAAGCCTTCAAAGATTTGTAGTTTTTTCTCTAACTTCTGATTTACACTGCGTATTCGTCGTCATTGCTTCTAATAGCATAGAGAACCGCTTACGCAGGTCACGGTTTACATCGAATTTTAGCACCTACGGCCACATTGGAGCAACTCCACACGACTTTGTAGAATAAAACAGAAACATATTTTAACATCAACCGATATACTTCAAGCCGCTGGCAATTATAATAAACGTTAACCCCGGTATCATGGGTTTGATAGCAAACCGATAGTTGTCAATGCCACTGGAAAGAATAACAGTCTGTTGTCATTTCTCTGCATCGTTCGACATAGTCATACCATTCCAGTGCATCTAACAGCGTAAGATAATTACCGGGGCTAATTTTATTATATGTGCCTACGGCTCGAGGTATATCCGTTTGCGCTCGAACATGCCCTGTTCGACCCAGCAAAGTGGTGTGGATTTACGCCCGTGCACTGCAGGTGCTAAGATACCATGATCATGGAGCCGTGGACTGCTTAATAATCCTTTAGGCTACTAACAGCTAAGAGGCTACACGGCTGTATTGTGTGAATCCGGAGG